ATAATATTATATGGAATTCAAATAATAATGTATTAGTTAAATTGGTAATCAGTTATTTATTATGCTTATTTGTTTTCATATTATCATAAAACTATTAAGTTTAAAAATACCAAGTTAGGTACGATAAAAATATAAAATATGTTTACCATACAAATTTAATAGTGTGCCCCAGCTCAGTTAGAGTTCTAAAATATACTGACGGGTGTTATTAGCAAATTGAAACATCAAGTTATTAGTTATCAACTACCAAATATTTGCGGCATGTATACTTTTTGTATTTTATCATGGTATTTGTTACAATATTTTTTTTAATTAAACAGTAAGACAATTCAATATTTGTGTTATGTAGGTTGGTATATAAATTATCAGCATTTTACATGCTTGAAATAACTTTCAGAGCATGTCAGGGGCAGCCTTTTGCACACTCTTAAAAAGAGGCCTGTGCACAGCTATGATCCACAGAATAGATTGATTATAATTATTAGTGTCTTCATCTGGAAATAATTTTTTGATACACTTACTAAAATTTGTGAAAAAATGAAATTATGTTTAATCACTTTTTTAAATAAGGTTAGGTAAACATATAATTGTTTAATGTTTATTATTTCAGACTGAAGTCAGATAAAAATAAACAGATTCCATTTAAATACCTTATTTCTACAAAAAATATGCAACCAAATAAGTTTTTTAATGTTGTAAGAAAATGTTAATTCCATAAAATAAATTAAGATAGCAGACTTAATTGCTCCAGTAATTTTAATAAAAATATAAAATTATATTATATTCTGAATATTACAGAAAGGCAGAAACTTTAAGTAGGTAATTGGCATATTTATTCATATTTCTAGTTATTAAAAAATAATTGTAGGGAATGATATATTTTCAAAATTTGTAAATGATTGGGCGTAATTTCAATATTTTCCACGGGCGTAAAATGTCTTAATTTCGCCTCTGCGTGTACAATGTAATCGCAGTATTACTGTATAGGTAGGTACCGAAGTACAGGATAAAGACACTCACTTTCCGATGGTCTCGAGCAGTTCGTAGACATCGTCGAAAAGCACTTCCTCGTCGGCCATAGTTTTGATCGCCTACACAAACGTACAAACAACACACACACAAAATGACAGTCTCTACTCGACACCGGTCATGACGACGAGACAGTGATACGCGAAGAAACTCAAGAAACACTACACGGAATGCGGTGCGGTCGAAGGGAGCAGGACGTGGCGAGGACGTGTACGCGACACCGACACAATAATAATATTACATTTGTCAACGATGACTAATGAGTAATAATATTGGCCGCGACTTCCGACAGGAGGATGTATCACATGCACGCGCGGTGTGCGGCGGACACGTCTCTRTAAACAGTACTAAACACTGACCGACTGACCAGTGAGTAGTGAGAGTGACCACTGTGGCACTGTCCACCGGCAGTAGCTAGTCGCGACGGCACCACGTCGGGACAACGACGCGGAAACGGCTTTCGGCAGTCGGCCACCGTCGTTACACCATTACCACCACCAGCTAACGAACCGTCAGGAGTCCGGACTGACGGGGACGACCCGCGGCCGTGATGTGCGATGAGCCGTACTGCCGTCACTTGTACTGATGCAGTCGTCAGCTTCAGCTGCGGACTGCGGTTCGCCGGTCCCGGTAGTCCGGTTGGACGTTTCAGTTCAGCGCTGGGAAGTGCTACCCAGTACCCACTGGTCCGCAGCCAGACTCCGCTCACTGTTCAGTCGTGCTCGTGTTGATGGTGCTTGCAAAGTTGCAACGCGTCCCGCCCCGCTACGGTTGAACTTTGCCCAGTAAAGGTGTTGCACGGGCCGCGGTGGATCTCGCGCCTAGGTTGCGCCCCGACGCGCCGATAACTTCATCCCGGTACCACCGCACCACCCGTTGATAACACGAGATATTGTGATAAGGTTACATAAATATAAACAATCGAGTGCAGACTACAGGACAATATTATTATTAGGGTCGTTATGCCAGAAATATTTTTTTTCAATTATTAATTATTACYAGGCTTAACAGCGTGTCCCGACCAGTCATTAATTGTGTCTTAAACGAAGAGAAAATAACMTTAATATTGTATTATTTAATAATAAAACATAGAATAATATTGTACATACCTAGTATTTGGGTTTAATTTTTAATGAATTTTAATTAAAAATTAAGAATAATATTGCTGTATTCAAACAAATTCATTCTACAAACAAGTATCATAGCTTATTACTAATAATTAATAAATGTAAATAAAGTAAATGTAGTTTATGTAAAAACTGCATTGGTTGATAGTTTAAACATTTTTCAATAAAATAACGGATATTATTAATTTTCATATTGCTATACAGAAAAAAGGGTTATTCAATATGATGTCCCCGGTTTGATGATTTTAAAATCTGGCAATCCTAATTAATAWTTATTACACAAGTATATCACAAATATGATAATTGATTGATGTGACTTATTTAAGGTAACATATAACGTTATATTTAAGCTTAACATAAGTTACACAATATTAAATTCAACAAGTGAGTGTTAAAATACAAAATATTATCAACAATTGAGTACCTAATAACTATGTTTATTACCAGATGTAAATGAAAATAACTTATAATTAAATTGTACAATAATTTATTAAGAGGATGAAAAAAGATAGAGAATAATATTTTTGAGGAAATGGCATATCGATTTTATATTTTATTGATATTTGACTTTGTATTCAACTTTAAAAATAAACAAAAACATACTGTACATTTAAATGATGTTTAAATTATGTAGAGACAATATTTAGACAAATCGAATGTCATTCTMTCAAAAATATTATTCTTTATCTTTTTTATAATGTGAGATTTTACTCTAAAATTACTCAAAGACATAGAAAAAATGATTCTGCGTAAATGCCTTTTGCCTATGTTACGCGTGGGCCAGAGAGAGTAAACAAAATAGTGCGCTGACAATTGACATCCTCTTAATWATGAAGGCACATTTAATTTGGCAAACTATTATTCGCTCTTCAGGCTCTTCTTAACTACAAGGCTAATGGCTACAACACTTACGAACCCCCGCCTTTCTAAAACATGTTCGCTTAAAGTTGTAAGCCTTAAACGATAAWTAATGTTTTTAGTACAATACTTAATCGTAGAAAAATGTTAGTCGACATTCAGTTTGTAAAAACAAAATTTTAAAAATTATAATATGGCTACGGAMTCMGTAGCCATATTATAATTTGTAGTACGGAGGATCCGTTAAGAATGTAATAGGACTAATAGGTTACATGATGATAATCCAAATTCTAAATATCATGATTTACCATTTGTGATTCGTACAAAGTAAACACTATTATAAAGAATAAAATTWAAGTTCTTTACAATCGTGAAATTAAAGAACTAGAGAAATAAAGAATATAGATCACGATTTAAGATATTATATATTATATTGATTAAATCGCGGTATAAACCTTAGACATTTAATGGGTTCTATGACCTATCTATTAATTGTCTTACGTCTATTTTTAATTATTAACACATTATGGCAAGCATCGTAGATAATACAAATAATAAGGCATAAGCACACGTTTGTAGATAACATATATTATCTATAAAATTCACGTTAACACACAATAATAACAACAGGAGCTACTGCAGCTGCTGGTGATAATAACAAATAACAATATTGTCCATCTGTATTATARTTTCTACATGAAATATAATATAGGTAACTCGGTATGTCCTAATGCTGTTATTCAATATTATTGAGGCATCGTACGCCGTGTGTCAATGTGATATCGATAACTCTATCGCGGCACTGACGAAATCATCTATTCTGYGTCCATACGTTTTTTATGATCAACGTTGGCGAGATTTAATCGCCGAGTTTTATTGAAACTCTCTGCAAGTCGTCGTCGTGCCGCGGTACCGTCTCTCCGTTATCCTCTGCGGGTGCGGCGTTGACGACATAGTGTTTGGCGTTTTGCAATAATTCCGCAAAATAATAATATACGTTTTTACCAGACAGCAGACCCGTTCGGACCGTCGACCCCCCAGCTGCCGGTCTTGTGTGTGTGTGTGTGTGTAATTTATTTTTAAATTTAAATCGAGTAACACCCCATGGACGCGATTTGGGTACCAGGTACCAATATTTTTAGGTTTTTCGATTATGTTATTTATTTATTTTAATCCGCATGCCGTTCACTCTAGGCCGACCAGGCGATGACCGGATGTAAACGACGTTGTGAACAATGGATACATTAATGATCTATTGATCGATTTAGCTTGCTGTTATATCATCTGATACACTAGTACAACTGTACTAGGTTGTTTTTATTTTTCACTTTGCAAATTGTACTCTAAGTGTTGACGCTCGACCCGTAACTATGCCGTCCGAAGACATTTTTGAACTCTACAGTCCACTGAAACAAACCAATGAGAAAAAAACGTAAGTGATACAATTATAATATGATTGTTTTGTACCTACCTAATCATTTATTTTACTGGCATACGGGTGATGTTTATATTATAACAACTTAAAAATAACTGAACTATAATTATTAACGCATATGGTATAGGTAATAACCTGTAAGTAATAGTTAAAACCATAAATTATTGATTGAATAGTATTTTTTGTTTTTATAATAGGCGCCATACAGCTTTTTGAAAAAATATATACAAAGTAACATAAATTACCATTAAATATTTAAATAGTAYCTTGTTTAAACTAAAAAAAATAAAACAAATGATGAACAGTTAACAAWAGATCCACAAAATATATAAATCTTTTTAGTATTTATAATATTAGGTATATTTGTATTTTTTTTTCCAGAATACAGTAATTCTTACAATTGTGTAGTTTGTATCAAACAATCAACATTATAGTTAAAATAAACGTTTTAAAAATCTAATTCATTCTAATTTTAATTATTTTGATAAATTTAAAAATACAAAAATGTTCTATTATTTTAGTAAGTACTAAGTAAATGTTTTTTTTTTTTAAGCTTCTGATATAAATTAAATTAGTATTACTTTWATATTTTCTRAAATCAGACATTGGTATGTTATAACTTTAAAATTCTGGCTTTCACAAGACTTAGGTATAATATTGTTAAMAATTATACTTCTTGTTCCTATATGAAYTCAGTGGTGTAGTGAGTGATGTTTACTTGACGCAATTATATCAGCATTAGAAATGGATTAGCTATGTGATACTTTATGTATATATCRTTTGGATTTTAAGGCTTTAGTAAAGCGTGTGATCTACCGAGAAAACAGTTAATAACTAGTTAAATACCTAAAAATTATGAATAAATATGTAATATTATGTAACAAAAATGTAATTCAATTAAAAAAATAATTATAATCAATACATTAGAGTTTTTTTGTGTCTTCAAAACAAATAATACAATTAGTATTAGTCAACATTTTTATGAAATATAAACTTTTTTTATATCTTCCAAAAAATGTATGAATAAATAATTCCGATTCGTTATTGAGCGATACCAACAATCGATTCAATGGCATGGTAATAGATTTTCATTAGTCTCATGAATTTTTCTTAATATTTTAAATTGATTAATAGTARATCACGACAGACCCGGTAGATCACACAATTTACAAATGCCAATGCCGATTTGAAACCTTGCCACCAGTTAATGCAAATGTTAAGGCTTAACTTTGACTTCTCACTAAAAATKTATAGAATCATAAGATCAACTGTTTAAAATAACCCAGGCGTAATGAAGGAGGGGATGAGGGGGATAGATCTCCCAAAACTTTTATTTTACTGCTAACATTTTATATTTAGTGGAGTAAGTTACTGTATGAGGCTTACAAATTTTACTAAAAACATATAATTCCCCCAAACTAAAATCTTAACTACACCACTGAATATAACCATAGGACCATATTATATAAGGTATATATATTTTAGGTATATTTTTGTAATTTAAAAATATTATTCTTAGGTACTTAAAATGTCTAGAGTAAATGTATAACCTTGTAAGAACCATAGTATGTATAATCCAATAATTGTAAAAATATTTGTTGGAGAAATCTTATCTAACGGTTGATAATAACATCTCACGTTCTCACCATGTTGAATAATATGTTTAAAATGTACATTACTATGGTTAAAAAATACCACTGCTCATGATAATTTTAAATTTAAAAATGTTATCTTAAAAATTATTATTCTGACTAAGTAGGTAAATATTAACAAAGAAAAATACAAGACATCAAAACTTAAATATTAAAAATGTAGTTRGTTATTTATCAATCACATTTTTGAGTTAAGACWACAGTTGAGATAAGATTAAARGTAAATAGAATCAAGTATACTATATATTACAGGTTGAGTACCATTATTATGTACCTACAAAAAATGGAGGGAAAATTGAAAATTGGTTGTTACCTGTAGCATTTAACGTATTGTGATTTCAATGTAGATTAAATAATGACTTTACCCTTACGAGTAAATCTATATGATACAATCATAGGCTGAGTCCTTCGAGGACTTAGGAGTTCTTAATAAGTCCTAATCATCTTAAATATAAATTAGTATAGTGATTATACCTAGTATATTATAAACAAAATGGTGGGTGGATGTATTTTTTTATTGTTATTGTTATTGTAGTTATCTAATAAAGTATTAAATTAAAAAAGTCACCTATAAACAATTCCTGATTGATTTTATTGTATAAAATACATTTAATATAGAAAAACTATAGTAAAAGGTAAATAGGTACCTACTACAAAATATTTATTTTTT